TATATATTAAGTAAAGATTTCAACAGTTTGCACCCACACAGAAACATAAAGCGTAAAATACTGTTTCAGTACTAGTTATAGCATTAATTCACAATGTACAACACATTAAGGACAGAGATCCTACATGAGGAGTAAGTGCACAGTGACTCCTGTTGTTGACTTAACAAATTGACACTCTTGTTTATGGTGTCCGTAATCACCCTAGGCTCTTGTCATGAGTTGCCAAGGCTATGGAGGCCTTTTGAGTTCGTTGACTCTGATCTTATTTAGACAAGATCATAGTCAAAATGGAAGTTCTCTCCTCCCTTCAGAGAAAGGTACCTCCTTCTTTGATGACCCATTTTTTCCACTGGGATATCACTAGCACAGATCTTTCATATAGTTTTTTTTTTTTTTTGCGAGAGTGTCTTGGCTTTCCATGCCTAAAATACTCTCATGGGCTCTTCAGCCAGATCTGAGTGCCTTAAGGGCTGATTCTGAGGCCAGAGTGCTGTTTAGGACATCTGCCATTCTATGAATCTGCTGTGTATCCCGATTCCCACATTGGATTGTTCTCTCCCTTTTTTATTCTACCAGTTAGTATTAGCAGACATTAGTCTTGTTTATGTGATCCCTTTGACTTTTAGTCCTATCATTATGATCAATTGTGAACAGAAATTGATCACTTGGACTAGTGAGATGGCATTAGTACATGCCACCTTGATGGGATTGAATTGGAATCCCCTGGCACATTTCTAACTCTACCATTTGGGGCAAGTCCGATTGAGCATGTCCCAAATTGTACATCTCCTCCTTCTCTTATTCCCACTCTTATATTTAACAGGGATCACTTTTCAGTTAAATTTAAACACCTAAGAATAATTGTGTGTTAGTCACAGAGTTCAACCAATAGTATTAAGTAGAACAAAAAATACTAAAAGGGATAAAGTATTAAGTTGTCCATCAACAGTCAGGACAAGGGCTGATCAAGTCACTGTTTCTCGTAGTGTCCATTTCACTTCAACAGGTTTCCTTTTTGGTGCTTGGTTAGTTGTCACCGATCAGGGAGAGCATATGATATTTGTCCCTTTGGGATTGGCTTATTTCACTCAGCATGATGTTTTCCAGATTCCTCCATTTTGTTGCAACTGACCGGATTTCATTGTTTTTGACTGCTGTATAGTATTCTATAGAGTACATGTCCCATAATTTCTTTATCCAGTCTACTGTTGATGGGCATTTGGGTTGATTCCAGGTCTTAGCTATTGTGAATTGAGCTGCAATAAACGTTAAGGTGCAGACCGCTTTTTTGTTTGCCAATTTAATTTCCTTTGGGTAAATTCCAAGGAGTAGGATGGTTGGGTTGTATGGTAGGGTTATATTCAGGTTTCTGAGGAATCTCCAGACTGACTTCCATAGTGGCTTTACCAGTTTGCATTCCCACCAACAGTGGGTTAGTGTCCCTTTTTCCCCACATCCTTGCCAGCATCTGTTGTTGGTAGATTTCTGTATGTGAGCCATTCTAACCGGGGTGAGGTGAAACCTCATTGTGGTTTTGATTTGCATTTCCCTGATGGCTAGTGATCCTGAACATTTTTTCATGTGCCTGTTGGCCATTTGGATTTCCTCTTTTGAAAAATGTCTATTGAGGTCCTTGGCCCATCTCTTAAGTTGTTTCCTGATCTTTTCTTCATCAGTATCAAATCTGCTGTTAAGCCCTACAGTGAAGCTTTTACTTAAAATATTGTATTTTTTCTGGAATTTTTTAGAAGTTGGTGATTTGTTCCTTTGTATGGTTTCTGTTTCTTACATTATAGTTATGTTCCTTTAAATGCTTGGCCATATTTATAATGCTTTAAAGTCCTTCTGTGCTTTAAAATCTAATCTCATCATCTTTGTAATTTATGCATCTATTTCTGTTGACTGACTTCTGCTTTTTCACCTGTATAGTAATTTTTGATTGGCTACTTAACATTGTTGGTAGTACATAGTTGAGTGTCTGGATTTTGTTGTCTTTAAAGACTGTTAAGTTTCATTCAAGCAAGCAGTTAATTTACTTGTACATCAACTTTAGCTTTGAATGAGTCTAGTCTTTACCATTGGAATACTTTAGCTTTATTTCTATTTTGATCATTTTATTTGTTTATTTATTTGAAAGGAAGAGTAACAGAGGAGGAGGGGGAGAGACAGAGACAGAGTGAGAGGGAGAGATATCTTCCATCACTGGTTCACTTCCCAAATGACAGCAACAGTCAGGGCTAGGCCAGGCTGAAGCAAGAACTCTGAAATTCAGTCCTGATCTACCACATGGGTGACAGGAACTCAAGTACTTAGCCCATCATCTGCTGTTTCTTAAGTACATTGGCAGGAAGCTGCATCAGAAGCATGGAGTATCTGGGACTTGAACCATGTGCTCCAATATGGAATGCAGGCATCCCAAGCAGTTTATTAACCTTTTGTGCCACTACACCTGCCCCTTGCTTAATTTGTGGCGTGTAGCCTGTCTGGGATCCTTTACCAAATACTACAGGTTTTTAATAAGATTTCTCAATTCCAGTTAGTTAGAAGATAATTGTTTCCAAACTAATCAAACTCTAACAGTTGTTGAGTTTAAATTTACCCAAGAGTTGTAGCCTCACAGAGTCTACCCCTAAACCCACAGTGACGACTCAAGGGAACCCTTAGGTCCAGTTCTGGAGCTCTTCCCCTGCTACTCTGTCCCACAAAGGTCAGCTGTCTCAGTCAGTTCTGAGTTCTGCCTTTTCAGGAAGCAAACATACAGTACTCTTCATGGCTTCCTTCAGTTCCTAGACATCAGTTGCTCAGAGTTCTTGTCTTCATGCAAGAAGGAATTATGATGTGAGACAGAGAGCAGCGGTAAGCACACTAGCAAAATTTAATGAAGATAAATAGGGGCCAGTGTTGTGATGCAGCGAGTAAAGCCACCACCTGCGATGCCAGCATCCCGTGTGGGCGCCAGTGCATGTGCCGGCTGCTCCACTTCTGAATCGGCTCCCTGCTAATGGCCTGGGAAAAGCAATAAAAGATGGCCCAAGTGCTGGGGCTTCTGCCATCCACAAGGAAGACCTGGGAAAAGCCCCTGGCTCCTGGCTTCGGCTTGGCCCAGCCCTCCATCTAGGGAGTGGACCAGCAGTTAAAAGATCTCTAACTCCGACTTCAAATAAATAAATAATCTTTTTTAAAAAATGAAGAGAAATAACGAAGAGCATACACCTGACAGAAAAGGTGGGCCTCTCAGGAAAGGACAGAGAGCCCCGTCTGCATTCAGACTGGAGTTTTCACACAAGTTGCATGTGGGCCGTCTTTCCCCTGCCTCTCCACCTTTTCTGGAACATTGCGGGGTGGAGAGCTTCCTGGGTGCACACTCCCACCCAGAACTTCGTAATAGCTCCTTTTGATGAAGAGCAGATGAGATTCCCCTAAGCTATCCCCAGGGAGACACCCAACCAAGCTATGGAACAATGGTAAGACTTTTGATTCAATACTGGTTCGCTTCCTTGTTCCATTAAACAGAAATTCCCATTTTCCTTCTGTCCCTCACACACACACAGGCTACTCACCTACCTTAACAATTTGCTTTCCTGTATAGTACACTATGTGATTACTCTAAAATGTATTAATCCTATAAATATTATTATACATGTATCTATATATTCACCAAAATACATGTGTAATAGTATTTATAGGATTAATAGATTTATAGGATTGATACATGTATTTTGGTGAACATATAAATAGATATTGTTGAATATGTCTAGTGGAAGTTGCTGGGTTAACTCACTCCAACAACCATGAAATTTACATAGTTAGGTCAGATCTTCTGAACTATAGACTTACCTATCAAAAAACTCCATCTATAGCGTCTGAAATTTAACATATGCAGCAACGAATGGCTTCTTCATCCGTTTGGTTACTTAAGGAGTCATCCTGACTGCTTGGTGCTTCCCGGCAAACCAATCTGTAAGTTCTTTATTTTCCGCCTTTGATTTATACATATCTTGAAATTATCCATCTCGCTGTCTCTACTGCCGTTACCCCAGTTCAAGCCACTGTCATCGCTGGCCTTCACAACTGCCTCCAAACTGGCCTTCTAGCACCCCTTGTCCTCTTCCAATCTGTTCTCCACAAACAGCCTCAGTGAGCTTTTAAATATGTAAATCAGATCCCACAGAACAGTCTTCACTAGCTGCCTTTTGACCCCAGGATGCCTTCCAGTCGCAGTCTGAAATCTATCAAGTGGCCAGCAAGAGCCAGCGCGGTCTGCCCTGGCCTCATCTCTGCCCAGCTGTCCTTGCTCTTTGCACTCCTCCACACCGACTTCTTGTCAGTTCCCAGAACACTCCAAGTTCCTTCATGCCCCGAGAGCCTAGCCATCACGTTTCCCTTGACCTGGAACATTCTTTGAGGCCCGTTAACAGGCCTGGGAGTTTAAAAGGCACTTATTCAGAGGCCTTTTCCATGACTGTCCAAAATAACCCATCACAGCACCCACCACTTTCCCTTTTATAGTACTGATCACATGTAATAATTATGACAACGATTTATGCTAATGTAGCTTAATCTTATAATGGTACTTTAAATCCCATCCAGCGTTAGGTTCACTCCTGTAACCGGATGCCTAACACAATGCTGTGCGCGGTAAACACTCGGGAAATGCTTGGTTAACAATGTGTGACCATGACAAGACTTGAAGAGGCCAAGCCACGGGGCCAGCACCTGGCACTGCCCTTCTTGTGTGTGGCGGCAGACAGAGGCTGGTTCCTCCCTCCCTCCCTCCCTCCCTTCCCCAGAGGGGGCTTTTCCCCCTGCCCCTTGGATAACAGTTTGCTGTGGGACCGCCTGCGAGAGACAATCCGGCAGCAGGCGGGAGCGATTAGCCTAATTTCTCGGGGACAACAGAGCTCTGTCCCCAGAGGACGACGGGCTCCCCCGGCGCAGGTGCGTGGGAAACTGCCAGTCTGTCCTGGAGGAGGCGGGTCAGTGAGTTCTTCCCACAGAACCCGATTGGCCGGGGCGGGCCGAGGGAACGGGGCGGGGCTTGATTCCGCAGGCGCCGGCCACGTTGGACGCGAGGCAGCCCCGCTGAAAGGCCACTCCTGGGCCCCACAATGCACTGCGTGGCGCGTCACTCGGAGCGGCGGGTCGCGGCTCGGCAGGTACGGCCCGGCCCCTCTCAGTCTGTTTCTTCCCTGCGCGGGGTCGCTCGCTCCCCTCTTTGGCCGATCGCACCTTTGGCTCTCCCGCCTCGGCCCTCTTCGTCGGGACCACATGCCTACGCCTGGGCAGGAACCATGCCCGGGGCGTGGGGTGGAGTCGGGTGGTGGTGGTGCGGCCGCGGAGCCCTGGAGCGGCCGGCGTTTGGGGCCATGGACCCCTTGGATCGAGTGGTCTGCGGGGCCGCGCGGGCGGCGGTTGTCCCCCGGCCGACCTGCTTCGGGAGCGGGGAGATGCGGGTGGGGATAGGAGGAGAAGAGAGAGTCCTGGGCTGCCCGCGGGCGGCGGCGGGGATTCCCTGGCGCCCAGATGTCATAAACACGGTGGTCCGGCACTTAGGCCGTTTGGGGCAGGCGAGAGAACTGGAGGTGGCATTAACTATTTGTTTTAGGCAGGATGACTTACTTTGCGTTTTGTGGGGATTGGGTGAATATTGAGCCCGGAGCTTTGTCTGCGCTGGCACACAGGAAGCTTGAGGCCCTGTTGATAGCCCTTGGGGAATGGCGAGGCAGAAAGGAGACCCGGACAATTGGCTCCACAAGTCGGGGAGATCGAAGGAGACGGCCGATCCCCAGCTGGCTGGAGTCTCTTGCCAGGGAAAGCCCCTTTAGACTTGTGCCGCTGTAATTTTTGGGTCATCCACCTGGGGCAGATGCAAGGCTTCAGACTGGAGATACTGGGGTCGCAGCTGACAGGTGGCTCCGCACCACATTCCATGTTACTGCTACTTGCGTGTTAAGACTGTAAGGAAGTAGGCAGTCCCTGTAGCAGTGCCTACAAATCCCAGTGTATTCAGCTGCACTGCTTGAATCGGAAACCTGTGAGCATGCCCTGTGTTAATGGGACACCTGCGCGTTTCCTACTTTGAGAGCTATCACACCCATTTAGTATGTGACTGATTAAAATCTAAATGTCTTATGAAAGAAAAACGGGTTCTCTCAGGGGCGCCAGTGGCCTTCCTCTGCGTGTATTTGAGTAAGAGTTTGCATATTTGGGGAGGTACTGTCTCATAGAATTCTTAGAGTTAGGCCTGGGTTAAATCCCTGCCTTCTCACTTACTTGTTTAGGAATTGAATAAGTTGCTTAAACTTTGTGGCTTTTAATTTCCTGAAAAGCAAAATGGAATTCATATCTACCTCACAGGTTATTGGAAGGCTTAAATGAGGTAATGTGTATGGTATATACACATTATATAATGTGTGTTGCCATAGTGATGATCAATAAAAAGAATAACAGATACTTAGTAGAGCACTTTGAGTGTGTTTCCATAAGTGTTTCAGGATCTTTACATAATCCTATGTGGTAGATGCTACTGGTTTCTTGAAACCAACCCTAGGAGGTAGATAATATTAGTTGCCACACTTCACAGATGAGGAGATTGAGGTATGCAAGGTCAGAGCTGCCCTCGGTTACATGGCTGGCACATGGTGGAGCCAAGATTTAACCCAGGCAGTCTGGCTCCTGAATCCGACCTTTTAACTCTCATACTATACCGCCTCTTACAGTGTAAACTGTTACTATTCAAAATGAGTGACCAGATAGTTTCTGTGTCACAGGTTCCTGCCCCTGATTGGTTTTGGGAGACTGATACGGCACAGTGACATAGAAATATAAGACACTTGGGTTTAAGTACCGGCTCTGCCACATACTTGTATGGTGCTAGCAGTGTGACACTGAGAAAATGAGCCTCAGTCTCCTCATTTGTAAAGTGGAGGTTATACCTACCTGCCTTGAACTGTGGCTCTAGACAGATGTTGGAGATGGACGTGTCTGAACCCGTGTTGGCCGCCCTGTTCCTAGGGGTGGGCGTGATCTGTTTTGGAGCCCGAGGGCTTGTGCATGCTCTGCACTGCAAGCACCCCTGCTAGGAATTAGACTTCTCGTGAGGCTGGGGGCACAGGCAAAGCAAAATGAGCACTGGCTGTGCTTGGTACCTGTTTCTCTTCCTGTCTCAGTCTACCCACATGTCCCTAAACTAACTCCTCCCCTTTCCCACAGACCTCAGCACCTTTAATAAAATAATGCGTTCCAAATTCCTGTTTCTCACATTTTGGTTCTGAAACATACGTATGATAACCTGATCAGCCGGTGAACATCTAAAAAATTAATAATTCTCCAGAAACTTTCTCATGTGTTTCTAAAACAAAAAAGTTCTTCATGTTGTGTTTTTTTTTTTTTGTTAAAAGATTTATTTATTTATTAGAAAGGCAGAGTTACAGAGAGTCAGAGGAAGAGAGAGAGAGGTCTTCCATCTGATGGTTCACTCCCCAAATGGCCGCAACAGCCAGAGTAGCACTGATCAGAAGCCAGGAGCCAGGAGCTTCTTCAGGTCTCCCAAGCAGGTGCAGGAGCTCAAGGACTTGTGCCATCCTCCACTGCTTTCCCAGACCATAGCAGAGAGCTGGATTGGAAGAGGAGGAGCCGGGTCTCGAACCGGCACCCATATAGGATGCTAGTGCTGCAGGTGATAGCTTTACCTGCCACGCCACAGTGCTGGCCCTTCTTCATTTATTTTAGTTTAGGGGAAAAAAACCTAGCCTTCACAACTGATTTCATAGATATTATTGTTAAAGAATATATTTCACAGATACATTGTTAAGGAATACAGGGCAAAAAGTCAATTGAAAGACTACACGGTAGGTAGAATAATAGTACAGATAGAATGCAGAGAAGAGTTCTGAAAGTGGTACATGGGTGAGTGAAGTTTGGGAAATGAATTAAGTAAAATATGAGTGATTGGCTTCAGTATAAATGTTGTATCTTAAAAGAGGCATTTATGAAAGCATGTGGCCAGAAAGGAGATAAAAAATGTACTTAGGAGTTGAGCTTTATTACTTTTGGAGAGGTGCTTTCCTGATACCTGGGGCCCACAGTCATTACCGCACCAAGGTCTGAGGACAAGTAGTCAACATCCTGTTATCTCGGGTCTAAGGGATTGCTAACCATCGCTAGAGTAGTTTGGCATTGTGGGAATTTATTTTCACCAGCCTTTACCTAAGGTTTGCCCAGAACTGTCTAGATTGTAATTTGGACTTTTTCCTCTAACACAGGAGTTGGGGGAAGCCTTTTTTCTGCCAAGGGCCATTTGGATATTTATAACATAATTCACAGGCCATATCAAATTATCAGCTTAAAAATGACCCTGCCATATATAGATTTATTGAATTTTGGGTCCTGCCTGCGGTTGTCTTGGCAGGGCCAGACCCAGAGATTTCGTGGGCCGGGTGTTCCTCACCTGTGATGGTTGCTGTTGAGGAGACTAAGTGCAGGCCACTGCTCAGCTTCCCTGTGAGTTTTCTGTTGTCTAAAGGCAGGTATGGGATTCTCTGTGGGTTAGAGGTGAGGAAACATGGAACCAGTGGCCTAAAAATGTGTCTTTGGCCCTTGTCAAATGGAAGCTGCTGCTTCCGGATCCTCCCATGCAATTGTTGTAACCTCTGAAACCTTTCCACAGCTTCACTGCTTCCTCCCGTGGTTCTCATGACCGTGAGCCTGCCTAGACTCCATGGTGTTCTGTCCCTTGCTTAGCCTTGATGTAGACTCATTTCTTACTCTTCTGGCACAGTCCAGAAAATTAAAGCTTTATGTATTTTTTTAATAAACTACATGAAGAATCCAAGATAAAAATTTTACAAAGAGAGGAGAGTGTATTTATTGAGTTGGTGGAGACTGCTTATTCTAAGGGGATTGGAGCCTGCAAATTAATTAAGCCTGGCATTATTCACTGCACATCCATCCTAGCTTCTTTTGTTTATTAGATTCGACTGGTCTGGATGCTAGATCTAGTTACTCTGGAACTTTTCCTCCTCAGAAAACTATAATCTACTGATAATAGAAACAGTCCCCTGGTGATCTTTAAAGAACTTTGACCAGGAACATAACTGCTGTGTTCTGCTTCTAAAAAACTGTATTTTAGGACTATTGGAAATGCAAGTTGTCTAACTAGTTTTCTAATTAGTAAAGTGGTGGGAAGTGTAGCCTGTATTATATTTGCTCCTTTCATTTGAGTGTCTAATTTTGGGGGTAGCCTTTCTCTACAGTAGGAACTATGTCTTCTAAATGTCTGACATAATCCTTTGTATACAGTAGATACTCAGGAAACGTTGGAATGGAATGGAAGTGGTATTCTCTCAGTATATATTTTAGGGAACATGAATCATATCTTTCTTTTTAAATGTTTATTTTCATCTATTTGAAAGGTAGAGTGACACAGAAGGAGAGACAGAGAGAGATCTTCCATTCCCCAGTTCACTTCCCACATGTTCACAACAGCCAGAGCTGGGAACAGTAGCCCAGAATTCCATCAGGGTCTCCCTTGTGGGTGGCAAGGGCCCAAGCAGTTGAGCCATCATCTGCTATCTCCAAGGATGCATTAAAAGAAAGATGGATTGGAAGTGGAGTAACCAGAACTTGAACTGGTGCACATATAAAATGTGCTGCTTAACCCACTGCACCATACTACCCACTCCTGAATCGTATCTTTCTGTCTTTTAAGTCATTAAAAAGAAAAGAATAACTTAGAAGACTACATGGAAGTTGGAAACTTATTAATAAATATTGTTTCTAATATTTCTATTAGGATCCTAGAAGGGTGAGCCATAAAATAGTGCAGTCTGTTTTTAAATACTATAAAGCAGGTAGTTGGAACTATAAGTCACAGCTCACCTTCACATTAATTCCCAGAATGGTCACTGTCTGGAAAGACAGCAGTTTTATATTTCAATAATAAATGCTTAAAGGTATGAAGTAAGACATTTTCCTACTTTCTTATGCTTAGGCCAAAAGTTAAAAATCTATTGTAATAAATGAGGATAGGTGTTTGGGCTAGCTGTCAACTGGGAGGCCTGCATCCCATATTGGAGTGCTTGGGTTTGAGTCACTCCTGATTCTAGCTTCCCAGGGGAGGCAGCAGGTGATGGTTTAGGTGATTGAGTCCCTACCACCCATTTGGAAGACCCGGATTGTATTTTAGGCTCCTGACTTCAACCTGGCCCAGCCCTGGCTGTGGTGGGTATTTGAGAGAGTGAACCAGTAGATAGAAGATCTTTGTCTTTCTCTCTCTGCCTTTCAAAAAAAAAAAAAAAATTGTCAGGCTGGGCCCAGAAATCTACATTTCTTTCTTTTTTTTTTTTTTTGAAGATTTATTATTTATTTATTTGAAAGAGAGACAGAGAAAGAAAAGGAAATAGAGAGAGAGAGAGAGAGAAATGGCTCTTTTATCCACTGTTTCACTCCCCATAAGGCCACGATAGCCAGAGCTAGGCCATGACGAAGCTAGGAACCCGGGTCTCCATGTGGGTCTCCCACTTGGGCAGTAGGAACCCAAATACTTCAGCTATCATCTGCTGTCTCCCAGGCATGTTAGCAGGAAGCTGGATCAGAAGTGGAAGAGTGGGGCCAGCGCTGTAGTGTGGTGGGTTGGGCATCTGCCTGTGTTGCTGGCGTTCCATGTGGGATCCAGTTTGATTCTCAACTGCTCCACTTCCAATCTAGTCCCCTGCTGATAGCCTGGGAAAACAGTGGGGGAAGGCCCAAGTGCTTGGGCCCCTGCACCCACGTGGGAGACCTGGAGAAAGCTCCTGGCTTGAATTGGCCCAGTTCCAGCTGTTGTGGCCATTTGGGAAGTGAATCAGTGGAGGGAAGACCTCTCTGTCTCTCCCCCTCTCTGTATGCAACTCTGCCTCTCAAGTAAATAAATAAATCTTTAAAGAAGTGGAGGAGCTAGGGCTCGAACTGGTATTTTGATATGGAAGCAGATATCCCAAGGAGCTGGTAACCCACTCTGATATAACACCTGCTGCAGAAATCTTTCTCTTTTAAAGATTTGTTTGTTTATTTGAAAGGCAGAGCAATGGAGAGAAGGAATGACAGAAGGAATGCTGGTTCACTCTCCTAAATGTCTCCAAAATCTGAGACTGGGCCAGGCCGAAGCCAGGAGCCAGGAACTCCATCTTGGTCTCTCACATGGGTGACGGGGAAAAGCACTTGGATCCTCCTTTACTGCCTTCCCAGGCACATTATCAGGAAGCTGGATTGGAAGTAGACCAGCTGGGACTCAAACCAGTACTCTAATATGGAATGCCTATGTCAAAAGTGACAGCTTCATCTACTGTGCTACAGTGCCGGCCCCAGAAATCTATATTTCTAACTAAATTTTCAACTTCTTATATGAGCTGATGCTTGAGAGCTATTTTGTTCTTGTCGAAATGTTTACCTGATTTTTTAAAAAACATATTCTTACCTGGAATCTTCTTTGTTAAGATTTTATTTATTTTTGCTTTGTTTGAAAGGCAGACACACACACACACACACACACACACACACACACATCTTCCATCGGCTCCTCAAATGCCCACAGCTGCCAAGGCTAAGCCAGGATAAGCCAGGCCAAGCCAGGCCAAAGCCGGGAGCCAGGAGCTCAGTCCAGTTTTCTCTCGTGTGTGGTGGGGCCCTAAGAACTTGAACTATCATCTGCTGCCTCCTGGGATGTGCATTAGCAAAAAGCTGGATCAGAGTGAAGGAGTTGAGACTTGAACCAGAAACTCTGATTTGGGATGTGGGCATTCCAAGTGGCATTTTAACCACTATGTCAGATTCTTGTGCCTACCTGATTTCTTTCAGATACAGGCTTGTGAAATCCTTTTGTCTATTTTTATAAAGTATGACCAGAATCCATAAGAGAAGCCAAGGCCATTATGATTTATTTTCTGGTGAAAAGATTAAGACAATTAAAACCAGTACTCCTTTAGCTTTGGAATTTACTTTAAATATAATTACTTTCTAATTACAAAGTAATAGATACCCATTATGAATATTTTGAACATTTAGGAAATTGTAAAATAATCACTCATTGTACTGTTTCCTAGATAGAGACATCCAGATTTTGATATCTTTTATGTATTTATTTCTCCAATTCTCCTTCCCTTTTTAATTTATTTTTAAAGATTTATTTATTTACTTGAAAGAGTTACACAGAGGAGAGACAGAGAGAGAGAGGTCTTCCATCCACTGGTTCACTCCCCAGATGGCTGCAATGGCTGGAGCTGCGCCAATCTGAAGCCAGGAGCCAGGAGCTTCTTCCGGGTCTCCCATATGGGTGCAGAGGCCCAAGGACTTGGGCCATCTTCTACTGCTTTCCCAGGCCATAGTGGAGAGCTGGATCGGAAGTGGAGCAGCTGGGACTCCAACTGGTGCCCACATGGGATGCTGGCACTGCAGGTGGCGGCTTTACCTGCTACGACACAGCGCTGGCCCCTCTCCTTTCCTTTTAAAAATTTTTGCTTATGGGGCTGGCATTGTGGCATAGTAGGTTAAGCTTCTGCCTGTGGTGCTAGCATCCCATAAGAGTGCCAGTTCGAGTCCCCCTGCTACACTTCTAATCCAGCTCTCTGCTAATGGCCTGGGAAACAATGGAAGGCGGCCCAAGTGCTGAGGCCCCAGCACCCTCATAGGAGACCCAGAAGAAGCTCTCGGTTCCTGCCTCCTGATTGGCCCAGCTTTGGTCATTGAGGCCATCTGGGGAGTGAACCAGAGATGGAAGATCTTTGTTTCTCCATCTCTGTAACTGTGTCTCTCAAATAAATACATAAATAAATCTTTTAACTTTTTTTTACTTATTTATTTTCATTTATTTGAAAGAGAGTGAGAGAGAGAGGGACAGAGATCTTTCATCTGCTGGTTCACTGCCCAAATGCCTTCAACAGCCAGGGCTGGGCAGGCTGAAGCCAGGAACCTGGAACTCATTTTGGGTCTGTAACTGATGTGGGTGGCAGGGACCCTAGCACTTCCTAGCATGAGCAGTAGCAGGAAACTGGAGAGGAAGTGTAGGAGCCAGGATTTGAACCTGGCACTAGGATATGGGATGTTAGAGTCCCAAGCAAGAACTGAACTGCTGTACTAAGCACCCCCCCCCTTTTCTTTTTCTTTCTCTCTGGGAAAATATATGCAGTTTTTATCTTTTTTTCCACTTACAATATAAACACTTTGCAACAAACTTTTTTCACAAATGTAACTTAGAGTTGCTGCATTTATTCTGTCATGTGAGCATATGGTAATTTACTTAAACATCACCCTCTTGTAGGATCTTTAGGTTATTTTCAGTCATTCAAGTGAAAAAATGTCTTGTTGTTTAAAATTTTGTCTGGTTCTCTGACTATGTTCCTCAGGATAGGATTATATTGAGGTCAAAGAGTATACATGTTTTTAAATTCTGGCAGACATTGCAAAATTGATTTGAGAATGGTGTTTATTCCAGTTTTTACTTTCACTTGTACTTGGGAGAATGCCAGACAGAGCAGGTGTTATTTTTCTAAAAAGCTGATTTTTTAAGTGAAGCATGGTATGTTATTGTTTTAATTAGTATTCTTTGGTTACTAGTAAGGCGAACATTTTTGCATATGCCTATCCACTTCAGTTTAATTTTTAATCTAATCGAATGTTCATTTCGTTTTAGGTCTTCTCTGTCTGTTGAAATGTCTTTGATTTTATCTGCCTCAGTCATTCGCGTCAGAGATGGACTGCCACTTTCTGCTTCTACTGATTATGAACAAAGCACCGGAATGCAGGAGTGCAGAAAGTATTTTAAAATGCTCTCAAGGAAACTTGCTCAACTTCCTGATAGATGTACACTGAAAACTGGACATTATAACATTAAGTAAGACTTCAGTTTGTTTCATTAGAGTCATTTGGCCTAGTGTTTGTTACTTTAATGATGCTGAAGTGATTGCACTAAAAAAAAAAAAATCAGTGGTTAGTTTAGTAAAACTTGTTTGAGTCAAGAATCATGTTCTGAACTGATGCTAAATAGCAGTGTTCATGTCATCAGCTTTTGCGGTTTCATCAACACTTTTGCAGTTTCTGTGCATTTATATCTGACTTTAGAAAAATGTGTGGTTTTGTACACCACAGATATTCCTTCTTGTAAGTTGATCACTAAGTATTTATTGGTTTCCTTACATGCCCAGGATTATTGTAGGCAAACTCAGTGGGAAACAAGGAACATTTATCTGATACCTGCCCTAAAAGAACCAACTAAGCTTATATTCTAGTGGGAAGGGATAGCACTCGTCTCCACATTGTATAAAAAGAAAATAAGGCTGGGTGATGGGATAAAGAGTGACTTTATCTGTGATGCTCCAGGACCTCTGTGAAAAGGTGAGTTTGGGCAAAGACCTAAGTGATGAGAAGGGAGGTAATTATATGAAGGGTGCTGTAGGTAAAGAACAAGGCCCTTCCATACCAACAAGAGATGGCAAGCAAACCAGTGATACCAAAGCGTTGTGCACAATTAATAGAGTGGGAGAAGCTGAGGTAGGCAAGGTAAGGATGGGGCAGGTTACCTTGGGCCTTCTAGGCCATGTTGAATTTGGAGTTTATTAGTCTGCTGAATCTAATGCAGTAGGAAGCCATTGGGAGGTTTTAGGTTGGGAAGTGATATAATCTGATTTTGGCTATGAGTAAAGCATCCTGGCAGCTCTGTGAAGAATGTTCTGTAAAGGAGAAAGAGTGGAGCAGAGAGATCATTTAGGATACCCTCAGAGAAGTGCAGGTATAGATGATGATTGTAACGTGGACTAGGATGACAATGAAAAGACGTGGTTGGATTTGGGCTATATGTAGAGGTTAGCATCAACAAATCTTCCTAATGGATTAAAGTGAGATGTGAGGCAAAAAGAATCAGGAATTACCTGTGGATTTTGGGCCTGAAGAAGTGGGTGGTGCTGAAATGAGCCAGACTGGAGAGGTTACGTGTGTTTCATTGATAAGATCCACAGTTAGGTTTGGAGGTGTTAAATCTGGGATGCTTGTTTGTTTGCTTATTTATTTGAGAGACAGAAAGTTACACAGAGGCGGGGGAGGGGGGGGATCTTACATTCACTGGTTCTCTCCCCAGATGGCCACATCGGCTGCAGCTGTGTCCATCAGAAGCCAAGAGCTTCTTCCAGGTCTCCTATGTGGGTGCAGGGGCCCAAGGACTTGGGCCATCTTCTACTGCCTTCCCAGGCCATAGCAGAGAGTTAGATCAGAAGTGGAGCAGCCAGAACTCAAACCAGCACCCATATGGGATGCTGGCACTGCAGGCGGCAGCTTTACCCACTACACCACAACACCAGCCCCTGAGGTACCTATTTAGACATCCATGGGGCACTGTCAGGTATAGCAACTGAAAGTGTGAAATGAAGTTTAGTGAAGAAGGTAAGTATCGAGATTTAGACTTAGGGGTCAGCTTATAGTTTGTAATTAACACCATGGGAATGGATGGGACTACCTTGGAAAGCATGCACATGAGACAATAAAGGAATACTTATTATTTGAGCATTTTGATAATGATTATGAATACAGAAAGAAGTCAGATAGGAACAAGGTCCATATGAGATATAATAAGCAGAGACTTTTGTTATTGAGATGAATGATCCATGTTCTGAAGAATTAGTAAGATTTGGGGGCTGGCATTTTGGCGTGGTGAATAAAGCTGCCACCTGCGACTCCAGCATCCCACATCAGTGCTGGTTTGTGTCCTGGCAGCTCCACTTCTGATCCAGTTCCCTGCTAATGCACCTGGGAAAGCAGCAGAAGATGGCCCAAGTGCTTGGGCCTCTGCCACCCATTGTGGAAGACCTGGAAAAAGCTCCAGGCTCCTGGCTTTGGCCTGGTCCAGCCCTACTGTTGCAGCCATCTGGGGAGTGAACCAGTGGATGGAAGATCTCTCTCTGTGTCTGTCCTTCTCTCTGAACTCTGACTTTCAAATAAATAAGTAAATCCTTTTCTAAAAGAGTTTATGGGAAATGGAATTAAAAGATTTATAAAAAAGAAGAATTAGTAAGACTTATCTAAGGCAGGGATGAAAGCATCGTAGATATAAGGGAGGAGAGGTACAATAAGTAGAGAATGTGACAGCATAACAGGTGCTAACCTGCTTGGCTTGGTGTAGTGGGTGGTGACTTAGGAGACATGTGATAATGTGGGGCCAGATCCTGGGTTGCCCTGAAAGTCCAGATTGAGGGATGTTGCTGTGATACAACAAGTTGGAGGCAGCTGTTGCTGCATGTGTGAGGGAAGATACTTGATCTACAGCAGTTCTGAGGCAGTGAAACAGAGCGATACGGAAGGTAGAGATAATGCAGAGTCAGCTTTTTATGAGTGTTAGGGCAAGAAGTAGGACAATGAAAGTGCAGATGAAAAAGAAAATGCCAAACAGAAAGACACTCCAAAAGAAGAAATGGCTGAACCTGTTAAGCTGGAATACCAGCGGTGAAGGGAAAGAAGGGGCAAGGATGACCCAGGCCTCGGCACCAGGCAGTGGTGGTGTCACTGTCAGAAATGAGGCTTTTGGCAGGGATTGCTGATGAGGGTGAGGCAGGAGAGAGGGAAGCTCCATTTGATTGTTTCAGTTGAGGTTATGAGAAGGCAGTCCAAGGAGATTGGATAGGGATTTTGGAATCATTCACATTGATGTGGTTGAAATTCTGAGAGTAGAAGAGTTTAGAGAAAGGCCCAGAAAGACCCTTAGAGAATGTCCACAGTTACTAAGTTCACACCAGGGTGGTGGTAAGAAGAGATGTTGTATTTAATTGGATTTTCTTAGGGTTTAACTAGAAAGTGTGTTTTTTATATATGTTTTTATAGTTTTTTTTTTTTTTTTTTTTTTTAAGATTTATTTGAAAGGCAGAGAGAGAGAAAGAGAGGTCTTCTATCCACTGGTTCACTTCTCAATTGGCCGCAACAGCAGGACCTAGGCCAATCCAAAGCCAGGAGCCAGGAGCTTCTTCCGGGTCTCCCACATGGGTGCAGGGGCCCAAGGACTTGGGCCATCTTCTACTGCTTTTCCAGGCCATAACGGAGAGCTGGATTGGAAGTGGAGCAACCTGAATGCAAACCCATATGGTTTACCTGCTACGCCACAGTGCCGGCCCTAGAAAATATTTTATTGATGATAGTGATTAAAATATATCTGAAATAATGTCTTAGCCTCTGAATTTTTAGAGAAAAAACTTGAAACATTTACATAACTTAAAAGTCAGCTTTTATTTTATTTTTTAAAGATTTATTTGTTTATCTGAAAGGCAAAGTTAGAGGCAGAGAGAGAGAGAGCTTCCTTCCTTTGGCTTACTCCTCAGATGGCTGGCCAGGCCAAAGCCAGGAGCTTCATCCAGGTCTCCCACATGGGTGGTGGGGCTCCAGGCCCATAAGCAAGGAGCTGGATCAGAAGTGAGGTGGCCAGGATTTCAACTGGCACTCATATGGGATGCTGGCATCACAGGCAGCAGGTTAACTCACTGTACCACAACGCCATCCCCAGTCAGGCTCTTTTAGCATCTTGCGTCATTATCCTGAGTTTTGGTTGTTACTATATAGAGGTGTAGACAGCTGTCAAAATTATAGGAAATTGGCTTGAATGCATATTAATACTGGTAGTTATCCTGGACTTTAGAATAAATAAAGCAACTTTTTTTTTTTTTTTTTTTTTTTTTTTTTTTTTTGACAGGCAGTGGACAGCGAGAGAGAGAGACAGAGAGAAAGGTCTTCCTTTTGCCGGTGGGTTCACCCCTCCAATGGGCCCCACCGGCCGGGGCGGCTGCGGGCGGGCGCACCGCGCTGATCCGATGGCAGGAGCCCAGGAGCCAGGGTGCTTTTCCTGGTCTCCCCATGGGGTACAGGGCCCAAGCACCTGGGCCATCCTCCACTGCACTCCCTGGCCACAGCAGAGAGCTGGCCTGGAAGAGGGGCAACCGGGACAGAATCTGGCGCCCCGACCGGGACTAGAACCCGGTGTGCTGGCGCCGCTAGGCGGAGGATTAGCCTAGTGAGCCGCGGCGCCGGCACTTTTTTTTTTTTTTTAAGATTTATTTATTTGAAAGAGTTAGAGAGGTAGAAACAGAGAGAGAGGTCTTCCATCTGCTGATTCACTCCCCAGATGGCCCAATGGCCGGAGCTTCACCGATCTGAAGCTAGGAGCCAGGAGCCAGGGGCTTCTTCCGGGTCTTCCATGAGGGTTCAGGGGCCCAAGGACTTAGGCCATCTTCTGCTGCTTTCCCAGGCCATAGCAGAGAGCTGGATCGGAAGAGGAGCAGCCGGGTCTTGAACCGATGCCCATATGGGATGCCAGTGCTTCAGGCCAGGGCTTTAACCTGCTGCACCACAGCGTCGGCCCCAAAGTAACTTTTAAGAAAATGTTTTTCATTTCTCTGCTTTATTTTCTTAAAAGTAGGATAAAAATTGGTAAAATTTTAATATTACCCATTCTATTTAATTATGAATTTCAGATTTTGTATTATTTGTTTATGCCCTATCTTACTGCACACAAAGGATTCAAGGCAATTTACAGAAAAGATAATTCAAGAGGATAAGGAAGAGAAATCAGGTGAAGGAAAAATCAGGAGAATAATAAACTGCAGTGATATTTTTGTCTGGTGATGCAAACTACACAGTCCAGTCATTTGTTAGAAACTACATAGTCCAATCATTTGTTAGAAACGGGCTGCAGAGATTGCCCTCAGCTTCCTAGGGGCCACCGTCATGGGACAGTCAGTGGGATCAGTTACAGGATTCGGTGTCCATTGGATAAAAACATTGGTTTTCATGTGACTGAGACTTGGTGTGTAGAAAGAGGGACAGCATTTAGATGGCATTTTCCAGCAGCTACTGAAGAACTTT